CGAGCTCGCCCCACTGGCAGCCTCGCATCCCTCCGGAACCTGGAGACCAGCCCGGAGCGGTCACTGCACACCCCCACACAGACACAACACTGCTCCAAGGCCGGGCCTAGGAAAACAACACCCCCCCCACCAACTCACTTTTATTTTTAATTACAAAATAACTTTCTCTTCCCATTACTGGCTCAAACAGTCTCCTTCCTCACACATTTCTTCACAGCAGCAAGGTCTGTGCTGCTGCCGTTTTCAGCTTATGGGGCATGTGACTGATTTTGGAAGTCAGTGAGGTGGAGGTAAATGCTGAACTCATTAATGCTGTGCAGGCCTTGAATTATTCTCCTGGGAACATCAGTGACAAATGTAAGAAACAGCTCCAGTTTGCAAATACTACTGCTCTACTGGGCCTAGGTAGCATGAAGCCATCATGTGGGGAAGACTTGGCTTTCAATGAAACAATACCTTTCTGTTCAGATGCTTCCTAAGTGAAGAAAGGGCCCTGTCAGGATAATGAAGTGCTTAATTAAAACATGCAAGCGGCCTTGAATGCTCTGACTTGGGAGAGAAATATTTTAAAACCCTTTTCAAAGCTTTAACAAAACAATTCCCATATTACCAAGGCAAAGATAAGGCAGTAAACACGAGTGAGTAAAATCCCTGGACTTACCTCAGGGTAAGACCATTCTGGTGAATAATCTGTCACCATGAACAAGCGGCCGCTCTGCTGCAGCAGCCCCAAAGTGCCTTGTGCTGCAGCTGCTGAGACCACCTCAGCCACGTGCATGTATGCCATGGTGCTGGCTCCGTTCTCCGAGCTGCTCAGCTGCATGTTGGCTTGCTGAGGGCTGCAGCAGGGAATGCACATCTCGGCCTGGTTGTACGTGGCTCTGTTGCTGTCCTCAGGCTGAGACAGTCCAGCACTGTCGCCAGACACCAGCTGGTGTCCGTACAGAGCGTTGCTCCCACCTTCTACCGATATGAAATCGTTAATTAGATCAGAAAACTGGTTGCTGAAGGAGATGTCAAAGTGGTCTAAGTTAAGCTCCATGTTGGAGGAGTTATTTAAGCTAGGATGGGCCACGGGATAGAGTCCTTGTACCATGTTTCCTTGGAGAATAGGGAGGTTGTTTCCATTCCTGATACTCCCGTTGGCCTCAGGCTGCAAGTAGTGTTCTGTGTTGCAGGCTTGAAGATCCCCTGATTTAAGTAGATTTTCATTTCCTTCTGCCTGCTGGGAGGTCTCCATGGGAACTTCAGCTTCTGCAGTCATAGCCTGGAAGTTTGCTTGGAACTGCATTAGCTGGAGAGAAGAGGTGGACTCTATTCTGGTTTCCACTGTGCCGTTACAGTTGGACGTGGTTTGGGACGACGACTCTGTTTTCACATTGGAGATTCCTAACGTGTTCACAAATGAGCTACCTGTGTCATTCAAATTGTTGTGAGTGTTTTGTTCAAGGGGAAGAGGTTTGCTGGCATCCTGCAGAAAGAAGCTGGGGGAAGGGGTCTGATGGACGTGAGGGCTCTGGACGGTCTGATTGAAGCTGGAAGAATAGTCCTTGTTGGAGTCAATGGCACTGAAGTCCATCTGCTCCAAGGTGGTACTTGGGCTCAGACCTCCTCCAGATGGAAGTAAACCTGAACCAGTACTGAGTGTGAGAGTGTTAGATGCAGAAGTGGAGGAAAATGCTTCTTTGGACATCTGTTGTTCGAAAGATGTGTCCTCAGTTTTAATTTCTTTCGTGAGGGTTGTATTGAAGTTGAAGCTACGTTCTGTTGTGGGTGACTGCCTTATGTTGGTATTGATGCTGTCACTTTTCATACCTCCTCCACCATAAGTCTGCCCTTGCTTGGGATTGTTAAGAAAACAGTCTGGGTCAAAATTCATGGTGGTTTCTGGAATTTTCCTATTTCCTTCTAAAGTTGTGGAGAGCACAAGTTCCTCAGAGACAGTGCTGGGTAGCATCGACAAGCTCTCTGAACTGCCAGTTGTTGGAAAAGCAAACTTGTGTCCATCGGAACTCACAGCAAGTACCAGTCCTTGTGCAGCTGCATCTGAGGACAGAAGGTGCTGATTTGGGCCAGATGTGGGTGACATCGTGTACACAGCTTCACTGGTGACTTCTGACATAAATACGGTGGCACTTTGTGACAAACTTCCCATAACTGATGCTACAGCCATGCTGGACACACCAGTGACAGCTGGGCTATCTGCCATATCTGGGTCGCTGTTTAACCCGCTGCTGATGGACACAGGAGAATTCTGGGTTGTGTCAGGGACCTCCACCTGGTTGGTGGAAGAAACCTCAGTGCTGTTTTGATGGAGCAACACTGGTTTTGCCACTTTGCCGTTCCTCTTCTCTCGGCTGGAGGCCTTGCCATGGCTGTGCTCGTTCTTGCCTTCAGAGACATCGTTATTTTGTACCTCTGAATGAGTGCTGTACCCACCTGTCCTTGGTTCAACCTTTGGTGATATGATGCGGTGTTTGGCACTGTTACACTTGTGATGCACACTGCTTCCTGCCCCTGTGCCAGAAAACAACAGGATTTGCTGTTCAGTAAATACAAAATTAGCACAATGCAAGTTGTGTATCTCGTGCTTGTGCATACATGTGCACACAGAGCACAAAGTCAGCACTGGAACTGATGAAGAATGTTCAAGCAAGGGCCACCAGAAGAAAATCCTCCATTAATTAAACCAGTCAGCACCTTACTGGCCTGTGATGGTAACATCACCTGCATTCCTGAGAATAATGGAATCACCTTGTAATCAGGCAGGATGAAGTAAACAATTCTGTCTGCAAAGGCACCTTAGTCACAAACTCTGGTGCAGGGACTGCTTTTGCTGTTTAAAGAACAGCAGCCCATGATTTTTTGATGTTTCTTTTCTTAATTGATTAATTTTCCCTAGAATGAGGTAAGAACATTAATTACAGAACTGCAGAATAACTGAAGGGGGGAAGAAACCTCCTCACTATAGCTCATGGCTACAATTATAAATGCCATCTTCTGGGCAACATAAAACATCTTTGTAGCCACCACAATTTGCTGAATCTTTTGTTGCTTGCCCTTGAAGAGGAACATCTCTATTATGTGTTCAAGATTTGAATGAGGTCACTTAAAGTAGTTCAAGACAGTGCTTTTGAGACTAAATACAATATTAAATCTCTCTATTCTCCTAGGTATAGAAATGAACAGGAACAAGGGAAAGACTTTCATGCTGCTGTATTTGTGGATGACAGTAAGGGATTGGGAATGTGTGTGTCAATGTGCAAGCCAGTTACAAAACAAAGCAATGCTGTTGTGTTAAAAAGCACTGAGCAGACTTAGCACAAGACAAAACATCAAAGGGAAGAATAAAAGGATTCATGTTCAGATTTGCAAGCCTGGATCAAATGCTGAGCCTTAAGGGGTGAATTTTAATCCAAACTCAGGTATTCCAGAGGTCATAATTCCTATTTAAGCCTTGATTGTATAATGCAACTGCTCAAGAAAAGAAGAAGAAAATAACCCTTTGAAGCAATGACAACTTTCCTTTATAAGCTTTGCTAAAGACTAGTTAATGTGTCATGTACTTTATTTGACCAAAGTGCTAGAAAGGAGCAGCTCTATAGCAGATGAGTTGGGAAGGGAATCACTGAGCTTTCCACTGTCTGTGGGAAATGCTCACACTAAGGATGCTGCTGTAGTGTCATCCAAAACAAGGTCATCTCCTTTAACAAGAAAGAGATCTGTATTTTCATGATACCTACATAAGAACCTGTCTTATCTCAGTGATACCTTGCAGTTAACCACCTGAGCACTCCTCCAAAAAAGTGAGCTGCAGGGCAAGGAATTCAGAGGGTGAAGCTGGAGGAACATTATATTTTAAGGCTTTGGTAACAGAATTTGCACATGTGGAAGAGAATGTATCTTTTTGAGCAGCTCATGTATGGACTGCATTTATTAGAAAGCACTGACATTTCCCCCAGAAGTTCCAGCTGCATCTTTTTATGCTCGAGACTTCTGTCAACTCTTGAGTTCATTGTGTCCCAGTGTTTCATGAGACAGCATTTTTGTCACCTCAGCACTAAACCTTGCTCCCAGAGTGGATGAAGCTGAGTCCCTGAGTGCCCTCCTCAGTACTCACCCAAGGTACCAGTGCACAGACAGTTGTGTGTCCGAGGCTGGGGCTTGGTCTGGTGGCTGTCGAGGATCTGCTGCACGAGCTGCTCCACTGAGAACCCTGAACTGCTGTTGCCATTGCTGCACGTCCACTTGATGCCATGAACTGCAAAGAGAACAGTAAAATTTCCCATCAGAATCTGCAAAATCATGCCAAAACCATCAAAAGCCGCTCCAAATTACCAGTAAAAATCCATTCCTGCTGCTTTCTGTCAGAACTGGAAGGAGACCTATAAAAAGCAACAGTAATGGTTACTGGCTTACTGTTCCCTGCTCCTTGGTATCAATAGGCTTCCAAAGGCAATTCCTGAATTAGGAATATATAGAGGGAAAACTCCTCAGCAGAGTATCTGGCTCTATTTCAGTCTGCTGCTAACAGGGACTCTGCACCTGCAATGACTCTCTGTAGTGCCAGCAAACTTCACTGAAAACCCAAAACCAACAAAGGACTTGGTTCCATTGAAGTGAAGCAGTATAATTCCTAAGAGCCTTTTGGAATCTTTTTCTGTCTAATATGAAAACAAAATCAGCCTTATAGTAAGATCAGCAGCCAAAAATACACCAGAGTAACAGCAAATGCAAACCTTCTGCCAGGTCTTCATTGTCAGATCCCAATGGCAGCAGTGAAGGCTGACTCATTTTTTGGGAGTGACTAACAGACACTGTGTGAGCTGCTCCTCAGACTTGGATGACCTTTTAGTAATTTGGGAGAATGGACAGGTGGGTGATGTTACAGAACAGGTTGCAAAGTGAAGCTCTTTCCTTAGGAACTCTCTGGGCCTGTTAGCTATTTAAATAAGAATGCCAGACTGCATACAGATACATGACTTGAATAAAGATTCCCTCTCAGAATATTTTAGTTGCAGAATTTCCTATAACAGTGATATTTGCAACCTGACTCACAATGGAAATGGCACTTATAAAATATTTTATCCATAATAACTGACTCAAAGCATCTTCTGTCTCTCTTAATGTCTCTCTGAGCAATTTATATGTGCATATTATTTATTTATCCCTTAAATGCACCACAGCTCATGTGCAGATTTTGGAAAGTGCTGATAAGTGACAACATAATTTCCAAGGTGTCCTCATGTCTGGCAGCTCCTTTCAGAGAGTCTTTGCCCTAGTCTGTCAAGGCACATTCCTTGCATGTTGTGCTCTAAAATCCTTAAACCAGAACACACAAAATCAAAGCTCAAGGTCCCATGGACTCAGGCTTTGTAGTAAAGCCCCAGATCCCTGTGTGGTGAAGGTCCCTGATGTGAAGGGGAAATCCTGGCAGCAGCAGCTTGGGCTGGTGCTCCTTTACAGCCACAGGCTGGGGCAAAGCCAAAAGCAGCATCGTGTAAGAGATCAGAGCAAATGAAGGGATGTTTGTGACATCCAGTGGTCACAGGGGCAGCATATCCTGTGAACAGTCTTCTGTTCTTCTCTCTGATGCTGCTCACTGAGTGTGTCACACACAGCTGGTGGGACAGAGCTCCTGGATCTGCTCTGTGAAGCAGTTTTATTGCTTTTTTGTTACCTGTTGCTGTATTGCCTCCTCACCCACTAATGTCATTTTGCCTAACATCTTGGTCTAGTTTTACACTGCAGAATTCACCTTGCTGTTGGCCAGGCTGGATAACCTGCAGAAATACAGTAAATCAGGTTTACAAGTATTCTTCCCCATATCACTGTTTAAAGTGCTGCAGATAGTTTTGTAATAAGTCCCTCTATGTTTGTTTGATGACCACATTTATTGTTATTATACCCAACAGATTTTGCTTCCCAGTATATTCACAGTTTTGGATTTCCTCTTAACACTCAGTCTCTGTTATGACATCTAAGTTAGACATGCTTGCCACTTCACTACCTCTGCTCACATTCATTTTATTATTTAAGATACATTGTTCTGTCACCAGTGATATTATGTCTAATAAGTGATGTTCAAATAGCAATTTTACAAAAAATACATTGTCAGTGAGATCAGAATGCAGTCAAGTATTTTGGATGCCTTCAGCTATACAACACAAAATTACTGAACTGCCATTATTATTGAGAAACTTTGCATTAGGTAATTTCTGGTTACTTCAGAAATGTTTTTTGCTAAAGAAGTGACCTGGTGTCCGTGTTGCTGGGCACAGAAAGTGTTTTACAGCAGGATGGCAGCACTGCTAAATCCTGGGATGAGCAGAGCATCAAGGGGGCAACTTTGGGAAGTGAATCGTGGCTCAGGGTTTGCATATTCATGATGATGGTTCTTAAGTCTGAATCAAGCTGTGAGCTAGGAGCTAAGGCATAATGGACAGCTTTATAGAGCTGGGTGATTAGAGAACCATGCCTGTTATTTTCAGGTCCTTCCAGCACAGCAAAGTCCCATTGAGGACCAATTGCTGCTGAGGAAAGGTCCTTCTCCAGCCTTGCTCCAGCTGATCCTAAAGGGCTCCAGCTTCTGTCCACGTGGTGCCACTTTTTTTTGGTACTTATGTTCCCCATATGCTATGAAGGTTATAAAATAAAAAGCCAGTGAAGGGTGACAGATTGCAAAAAAAGAATGTCTGTATGCTTAATGCAAATTATCCACTATCTTGGCACATCCAATATGCAGATTTTCTTCCTCCCTCTTTTAAAGAAAGACTCCTGTGCCTGGTGAATTGTTAGTACTGAATACCAAACACTATCAAGATGGCTTTTAACATGTCACGCTTGGCTTCCTGACACATAATGAATCAGCAGGAAAGGAGATTTCTATAGGGAAAAAAGTGCATTATGAAAGGAAGGCTAATAAAAAGCATACACACAGACTCTTCCTGCTTCTTAGTGGTTCAAGAAGTGAAACCACTGTAGAACTATGTTTGATTAAATGTAGCCATAATATAAGAACACAAAAGGGAAAAAAAAAAAGTCTGAGGCTTAGCAGAAATTCTGGAAAGGATTTTAATCCGGATTCCTGTTCAGACTTCTACTGCATTTCTTGATAATTTAAAATGAAAGCTGTGAACTGCTTCAACACTGTCCTTTTCAGTGATAGCATGGAGAGGTCTAAAAGCTGCTGCATTACAGCAGCAACACATTCCTGCTGGCACACACGCTCTGCACAGAGCCTGCAGCACAGTGCAGCCAGGCAGAGTTACTGCTGCTGCACTGGGGGCTCAAAGGAGACAGCTGGGGCTGGGGGAACGTCCACAACTCACAGTGCTAATGCTGCTGCAATCTCTTGTTACAAACCTGGGCTCTCACCTTTCTTCTCTTTCTTCCTTTTTGAAGAAAAGGCAATAAAAATGACCTTGTGACAGTGCCCAGCCGCTCCTGTTCATTAGCACTGCCAGGAGTTTGACCACCATGAGCAAAGGAATGAAAGATGATCTGAATTACCAACAAAAAGGCTGCTCAGAATCCAAGGGAAACTTGCACACAGGAACATATGAGTGTCCAAGTTTCTTACACCACCTTGGCTATTTCTGCCTCCTGCTGCTGGTACTCAGTCCTCCACAATTTCCAGGCCTGCAGTCCTGCTGTCCTGCAGATATCTTCCTCCTCCCCATCACCTGAACTCTACCTCACTGCCTCATCATCACTCTAAACACCATCACAGCTGTTTCCCTCTTGCCCTCCCTGTGGTTTCTCTACCCTAACCAAAATTTGACCCTAAAATACCCTCCCATATTTAAATCTGATCATTTCACCTTTTCTGAATGCTCTTAGACATTTGCTACTCCAAGCATTTTACACTTCCAAACACTTTGCTTTTCCATACCACCCCTCAGAACACAGCTTACACATACATGTACATGTACAGTACATTATGAAGCCATTCCCTATACCCTCCATGAGGCTCCTCTGCCCCAGTTTGGTAAATCTTTAGTTATTTGAGTAACAACAATGAGATCTCCCCCATGAAACTGGTAAGCTGGATAGACTGATAGAGCTGGAATATCTAGAATCATCAAGGTTAGGGTTTCTGTTTGCCTCTGCCTTAACAGCCTGCTGCAAGCCCTGCTGTCAGTCCTGCCCTCAGCCCCTCCTGACCCACACAAAGTGCTGTAAAAATCCCCAAAGTGCTGCTGGGAGCGTGAGCAGGCCCTTTGTCCAGGACCCATTCCTGCCTTGCTGCCCACATCGCGCTCCACAAGTGCTGTCCCTGCGAGGTGTTTCCATGGCGATGGTCAATTGGAAATGGCAGCCTTGTCCCTTCCATTCCCACTGCCTTCCTCTTGACAGAAGTAAAGGCCTTGCCCTGATTTCTCAGTTTAGCTGAAGCATATTTCCATTAGATTTATCCTTTCACACTCAGACGCCCACACACAGCTTAGCTTTGATTTTCCAGCCTTCCATTTCCACTGGTTACTGGTTGTGAAGGACGGGTTTACCTGAGCCTCAGTGCTGGGGACAGCAGTGACACCCCCTGCATGCTAATGTCCTGCACGGACTCGCAGGGGCGTTTTGCTCAGAGCTTTACAGAGATGTCTGCCTTCCAAAAAACACTTTTCCTTGGAGGTTCACTCAGATGCAGCGGGATGCTCCCAGGGGCTGGACAGCATCCCTTGGACCCCTCCAGCAGGACAAAACACGGTTATCCAAAGCCACTCGGTGCAGCCCTTCCGCCCGGTTACAGACGCGTTAAATCCGAGGCTGCTCGCACATGGAGGAGCAGAGCGGCAGCCGCTCCTCCCGCTTGTCCTGTGTGGTCTTCGCCCTCCTCCGGCTGCGGCTCAAGGGCACCATCACCATCCTCCCCCTCCTCCTCCTCCTCCGGCTGCTGCTGCCAGGA